TTTTCTTAATATACTTATATTTTCCCAACAAAAAACTGAAAACATGTTTAACTATCCTGTTGCTGACAGAAAATTCTATATATTAAAAAAAAAACAGAGATTAAGCCCCACCCACCCGCCCCGATCTCAATGGTGATGAGTTTTTCATTCCCAATCAGACCGAAGGGCGGAATTTAATTGTAACGTATTATTTCTCTAGAAAATTCTACTTTTTTAAAGACATATATTTCATACGGTAATTTCTTGTACAGAAATGAGGATTTTGCAGCTAAACTCCACCCTTCAGCTCACGATGAATAAAATATTCATTACAATTGAGAAGGGGTGGGTGGGCGGGGATTATATTTTATCCGTTTTTCTTAATATACGAAGTCTTCTTTTCCCAACAGGAAACTGAAAACATGTGTAACTATCCTGTTGAAAGAAAATTCTATATATTAAAAAAAAACAGAAATTAAGCCCCACCCACCCGCTCCGATTTCAATTGTGATGAGTTTTTCATTCCCAATCAGACCGAAGGGTGGAATTTAATTGTAACATATTATTTCTCTAGAAAATTCTACTTTTTTAGAGATATATATTTCATATGATAATTTCTTGTACAGAAATGAGGATTTTGCAGCTAAACTCCGCCCTTCAGCTCACGATGAATAAAATATTCATTACAATTGAGAAGGGGTGGGTGGGCGGGGATTATATTTTATCCGTTTTTCTTAATATACGAAGTCTTCTTTTCCCAACAGGAAACTGAAAACACGTGTAACTATCCTGTTGAAAGAAAATTCTATATATTAAAAAAAAAACAGAAATTAAGCCCCACCCACCCGCTCCGATTTCAATTGTGATGAGTTTTTCATTCCCAATCAGACCGAAGGGCGGAATTTAATTGTAACATATTATTTCTCTAGAAAATTCTACTTTTTTAGAGATATATATTTCATATGATAATTTCTTGTACAGAAATGAGGATTTTGCAGCTAAACTCCGCCCTTCAGCTCACGATGAATAAAATATTCATTACAATTGAGACGGGGTGGGTGGGTGGGCGGGGCTTATATTTTGTCCATTTTTTCGTAATATACAAAGTATTTTTTTCCCAACAAAAAACTGAAAACATGTTAAACTCTCCTGTTGTCGAAAGAAAATTCTATATATTAAAAAAATCAAAGATTAAGCCCCACCCACCCGCCCTGGTCTCAATTGTGATGAGTTTTTCATTCCCAATCGGACCGAAGGGCGGAATTTAATTGTAACATGTTATTTCTCTGGAAAATTATACTTTTTTAAAAACATATATATTTCATATGGTAATTTCTTGTATGGAAATGAGAATTTTGCAGCTAAACTCCACCCTTCAGTTGCTCACGATGAATAAAATATTCATTACAATTGAGAAGGGGTGGGTGGGCGGGGCTTATATTTTGTAAATTTTTTCTTAATATACGAAGTCTTTTATTCCTAACAAAAAACTGATAACATGTTTAATTACCCTGTTGTTAAAAGAAAATTCTATATATTAAAAAAACAAAGATTAAGCCCCACCCACATGCCCCGATCTGAATTGTGCTGATTTTTTCATTCCCAATCATACCGAAGGGCAGAATTTAATTGTAACATATTATTTCTTTAGAAAATTATACTTTTTTAAAGACATATACATTTCATATGTAATTTCTTGTACAGAAATGAGGATTTTGCAGCTATACTCCGTCCTTCAGCTCACGATGAATAAAATATTCATTACAATTGAGAAGGGGTGGGTGGGCGGGGCTTATATTTTGTCCATTTTTTCTTAATATAAAAAGTCTTCTTTTCCCAACAAAAAACTGAAAACATGTTTAACTATCCTGTTCAAAGAAAATTCTATATATTAAAAAAAAGAAAGATTAAGCCCCACCCACCCGCCCCGATCTCAATTGTGATGAGTTTTTCATTCCTAATCAGGCCGAAGGGCGGAATTTAATTGTAACATATTATTTCTCTAGAAAATTCTACTTTTTTAAAGACATATATATTTCATATGTAATTTCTTGTACAGAAATGAGGATTTTGCAGCTAAACTCCGCCCTTCAGCTCACGATGAATAAAATATTCATTACAATTGAGAAGGGGTGGGTGGGCGGGGCTTATATTTTATCCGTTCTTTCGTAATATATGCAGTCTTCTTTCCCCAACAGGAAACTGAAAACATGTTTAACTATTCTGTTGTTGAAAGAAAATTATATATTTTTTTTTTTCATTTGAGGTGACATAATCAATTTTTAGGGGGGATGAGCAAATACATTTTGAAAAAAAATTTACCATGCTTATGATAACTTCAAAGCATCTCCCAGACTTCAAAGGATTCGGTTTTTCAGTTTCTGATTAAATAAGTAATATAAATTCACGCATTCATTAATTTGTTTGAATCACCCTGTTTAAGCTAATTTAAAAAATGTTGAGATAACGTCATACATTTTTTGGAAGGGATAAGAGAAATATATTTTGATTAAAAATTATTATGCTTACTAAAACATCTGCAAGGTTTCAAGCATTCAGTTTGGCAGATTCAAAATTATATTGCAAAAAGTTGTTTTATATTTTTGCTTTTTTTCAAAAATCTGAACGTTTTGGGTAAAAACTCAACACGGAGTATACATATATGTACAAGTCAAATATAGGGATTGATGAATGTCTGGGTCCGGGAGGGAAATAAGGATCTCTGTAGGTGTAATCCTTTTGTCACGGCTACAGTGAATTTCGGCTTTCTGTGCGATCCGCTCGGCGTAGAAGGAATTGTATCACTCAGCGAAATCGCGGCAGTGACCGTAAGTGCAACTCGTAGGACTTTTTAATCCCCTTAAGCTCTAGATTTTTGTTATATATAGTACACCAAGTTGAAAACGTATTTTTTGACACCGCTAAATTTTACATTAATTACACCAATTTTTTGTTAGAAAAATAAAAATGGTGTGGTCCACAGTGAACACAGGTTTTAAAATTTCTGAAAATCTAAAAGTTTGAAGTAACAGGAAGAGATTTATAAAAACATTGCACATACAGTTTTTCCCACACTTAGGAAAAATGAGCATTTTAAATATTTTTTTGAGAGAAACATTTTGGTTCGTTGGAAAAAGAGAAACGGTGGAAAGGAGAAAGAAACAAGAGGAATAGAGACATAGATTGCTATAATTCCATTTGTATAGGCGTATTTCAGATATCACGAAAGAACAAGTTGGGTATTAAAGTTGATAAAAATTTTGGCAAAAAGTTTTAAATCGTAATGAAAACTTATATCTAAAGATATTGTATGGTTGAAGGTCTCGATAAAAACGGAGACCGAATCATGACTTACTAAGACTTTTTGTTTACACCGTCGCTTTGAAACCACGCCTCCAGTCTCTGTACTGGCGGGAATCAGGTCACATTGAAACAGTGACCGCTAACAGTAGTCCAACTACGGGAGTTCATTGTCATTCAGCGCCAGTGAAATTGTTTGATTTTAAATAAGAATAATGAATTCAGTTGAATATTTAACAAAAATCGTCATCTAGCTTACCACGATAAAATTGTAGTGAAAGATTTAGGATAGTCACCCCCGATTTGTTAATAAAAGAAGTGTTCATGGCAAAACAAGAGACGAGAAATTTTTTGTGAATGTGCGGTTGTGAAAAAATGGTTTTGTTTTGTGTGTCGCCTCAGTAATGAGTTAAAGCTAAAGGTATGTGGACAAATACTTTTTACTTTTATTGTATTTTTGGATTTATTTCCATCACACAATTTCGACTATTAATTGTCATTTCAAAAGGTCACGAGCCGCCACTGATAATTTTACTACTTCCGTAATTTCAATCCTAAATTGAAATCGGGTTAAATAATAAAAATCTGTTAAATATTGAGTCAAGGTTTTTTTCAATAATGTTTATAACTACAATACCACTAAAACCGTTTACTGTTGGGTAATAAAAATCGTTTCATAATAGAATTGTTAAACAATTATTGTAAATTCGAGTTACAGGAAAATTTTGTTGTGAAATTTATTGTTAACATGGTTATTAGTGTAGGTATTGAAAAAAAAAAGTTCAATCCATTCAATAAATTAAATGGATTATTATTTTTTAGGTTCTTCAACGTCAAATCTCTTCCCTATAGAGGTGTGGCAGTAAGGTCCATGTAAATATACAGGGTGAGTCACTAATATCTCATTAATTATTAGAAATAAAAGAAAAAAAAATCACAAACCAAAATTATACAGTTCTTTGCTGACTATACTTCAAAATTATGTTTAGCTATCCAAGGCGTAACACACAACATCGTTTTTTTAAATGGAACATCCTATATATTTTTACAAAATCGCATCTATTTTTTCCTAGAAATAAATAAAGATATGCGCTTTCATTTTATTTTTTTCAAATAGAAAACCCTTTATTTTATTTATCCCTACCCAAAATATTGTAAGACATACTTTGGTCGATAATGACCATTGGGACACCTGTATATGGCTTAGTTACAATATAATTTTTGAAAATCACTTGAGGTGAAAGACTCAGTTTAACGAAAAAAAAAGAGAAGGTAAAATAGAATAAAATGAATTTTGTGATCAGTAAATTTAGTCTTTCAGGTAGCTATGAAACAAATAAAAATGTAGACAGCTCACTTCGATATCGCAGCGACAACAAATATGTGTGATTATTCTGGAGAATGACCAGAAATTTGTTCGAACTCAGTGAAACGCCATTATGCAAAATGAAGTCGTTTTCACCTGTTCATCCTCGCTTGCGATTATAACTCGCATAAACTACGAACGACTGTGTCAGATGTGTCTAGGTTTTATTTAAACACATTTAATATTAACGCAACAGTGCAGCCTTAAAACAGTAATGCTGTACCATAATATCGGCATTAATTAACAGGATTAATTCCGGCTGAAATTCGCGCAACCCCGTAAATTTCGCACTTCGCAATGAAACAGAAATACGAATGCGAACCCTGCCGGAAGTAAAAAGCCTAAAATCACTCACCTAAGATTTGGCTGAGAACAGTCCTGCCATCCTCCCCCAAACAGGCACTTCTAGCATCAAAAGGATTCGTAAACTGCACGAACGCGTATCCTTTGTGCATCGATATTCCTGCAAAAGAAATTTCCTAATGAGACAAAAGCCACTCTCGCTCGAGTCCGCGTTTAATATTTACGGCGTTTTTTCGGGCAATACAACGAAATTTTACGCCTCGTAAATCAATTCGAATGCGATTGAGTATGTAAAGGATCTGGTCGTAAATTTTGCACGGATAGCGCCAGACTTTATAAAATGATAACCTGATTTCAACGCCTGCTTTGACTCGTACACGGTTTCAACCCTCCCGGTCTTTTAATATTTCACATCTCAATTCCGATGAATGTTGATACAGTTGACGCTATTTAATATTACTGAAGCTGAAACAAACCTCTTCGCGCCATGTTTGGCGTTTGAGATCTTTGTAGAGTGAGGTTGACTGGATTTGCTTTATGATGGGATGTTACCAGGGAAGATAATTAGGTGTTTGTAGACACTCAAGTCCACTGATTTTGTTAGAATTACTACGGATAAGTACCTATTGCCAGATTGGAACAAGTTAATTTATTTGTTAATAATTTAAACACCATATCATATTCACAATACATTTATTTGATTGTTCGTAAAACGAAGCACGATTTTCACATTTGGGGAAAGAATTAGTTAAAATTAATTATGAGACAAAACAAATATATAAAAATTAATATTAAATACTAGGCAAACTAACATCCATGTGGCTCACCTAAAACCTAATTAAAAATTATTCTGACTACATTAGATCAAAACTATCTAGTTGTTACCTAATATTAGATGTATTCAGAAACTTAAAGATCTTAAAATTATTACTGATGCATCATCATAATCAAATCATTGTTTAAGACAATCCAGAGCGTGAAAAAGTAGGTCTCCTTTTCCGTTTGTGTCTTCTGTCGTCTGTTGTCTCTGTTACGCTAACCAAAATTGGTCTAATCATCACCGCCAACAATTTTATGACGTCATCTCAAAATTTTTCATAGTAAATGCTATTTAAATTTTATAAAATAACATATTTCTGTACTTGTGGTTTATAAATCTGCCTTGATGTTTACCTTCGGCATCCAGATTTTTGCAAACAAATTCAAATTGTTCCCTCGCATTTGAAGTCAAACTGTGAAACAATTTCAACGTCTTAGAAAAAAAAATGGAATTCAAACCGACACGAGCAACGCTCAAGTCCAGTGCCTTAAGTAAGTAACTGTCATAAAACTTAAAACGAATTCATAAACCACAAGTACAGAATACTAACACAATATATATATTTAAAGCATGATTCCGAAAAAATTGCGTATCCGAAAATTATAAAAAAATATCGTGTCTGCCCAGGAATGATGGGTCTATCAGGAAAAATATTCCCAAATCGACACGACGACTGGTTCTCGAAACATTTGGTTTCAAATTCAAATGTCTCAAAAATTGCTATATTTTATTTCGACGATTTTGAAAAAATGGTGGAAATGTTTGAAGAATTGAAGCTGTAAAAAACTTCAAGGGACAGAAATCAACATAAAGATCTATCTCGAGGAAAAGTCCAAAATTTTTAGCAATTGAATTTTTCCCAAAATTGCCTAATAGTTTCCAAAAAATTCTAGGAGCTCTAGATTTCGGCAAGGTGAATCGAAAAATATGACATGTTGAGGGTTTTGGTCCAAAGTATGGTCTATGATCGGAAATTCCGGGGCAACTGTGCCATTAGGGACGTGTTAGGAATGCATCTAGTACTATTTCGTCAAAATTGTGTATACAAAAATTATGGAATAAAAAATGATGGCTTTATCAGGGAAAAAATCTCGTTTGTTAAGAGTCGAAAGTACTCGGGGAAAGATGCAAAATTTTCAAAATTGAACTTTCCCCGAAATTGTAAAAATCCACAAAAAAATCTGGCAGCTATATTTCGAGGAGCTGAATCCAAAACTGTAAGATGTTGATAGTTTCAGTCCAAAATTGAGGATTATGATGGGAAATCAATTATGGTATTTTTGTTAGAAATCTATTTCGGAAAAACTGAGTATTCAAAAATGGCTACGTCAAAGTCGAATTTTTACAACATATCAAAAATTGTCGTCATGTTTGATTGTGGCAATTTCGGAAAAATGGTAATCATTTTCTAAGAACTGAAGCCCTAAAAGGTCTCAAGAGATCGAAATCAATAAAAAAATCTCGCTTGTTTTGATTCGAAAGTGCTCTTTGAAATTTCCAAAATTAAAAAAAAAATTCGACGAGTTAAATCCAACAATATGACATGTTGATGGTTCCCATACAAAATGGAGGAATGTAATCTAAAATTCTTGGGCAATCCTGGAATTTTTGTTAAGGACGTATTTAATCGGATTTTGGAAAATTTAGGTACCCAAAAATTAATCAAAAAAATTCCTCCCGCAGAAGGGTTCATTAGATAAATAATCACAATTCCAGATGATGACTAGTTTTCCAAATATTCGGTTTCAAAATCAATTTTTTTAAATTTCTCAAAAATTGTCATATTTCATTTTGACGATTTCGAAAAAATGGTAGAAACTGTTGAGGAACTGAAGCCGTAAATGACTTAAGGGTTAGAAATCAATAACAAAATCTCGTTTGTTAACATTCAAAAGTGGTCGAGGCAAAATCTAAAATTTTGAAAAAATCAAAGTTTTCCTAACTTCACTAAAAATCCACAAAAAATTTCACGAGTTAAATTTCGACGAGTTAAATCCAAAAATATAGCATGTTAATGGTTCCTGTAAAAAATGGAGGAATATAATCTAAAATTCCGGGGCAATCGTGGCATTTTGATTAGGGACGGTATCTAGCGCGATTTCGGAAAATCTGGGTCTCCAAAAATTATGAAAAAACTCTTCTTTCCGCAGAAATGATGGGTTTATTAGGAAAAATAATCACAAGTTCATATGATGACTAGTTTTCCAAATATTCGGTTTCAAAATTATATTTTTAAAGTTTATTAAAAAGTGTTCGAGGAAAGGTCCAAAATTTTGAAAAATATCAAACTTTTCCCGAAATTGCTCAAAAATTCACAAAAAAATTGAAGACTAATCGAAAATTCCAAGACAATCGTAGGATTTTTGATGTGGAAATATTTACCGCTATTTCGCAAAACTGGATATCCAAAAATTATGAAAAAAAATCTAATCGAAATTAGACTTAAATATTTGGTACCAAAATTGAATGTTTAAAATAACTCAAAAATTGCTGTTTTATTTTGAAAAAAAGAGATAGGAATTGTCGAAGAACTGAAAGCGTAAAATATTTTGAGGGATCGAAATTAAAAAAAAATCTTGTTCGTTAAGATTCGAAAGTGTTCAAGGAAAGGTCTAAAATTTCAAAAATTTAACGCTTCCCGAAATTGCCTAAAAATCCACAAAAAAGTCTAGGGGCGAGATTTCGACAAGGTAAATCCAAAAATATGACATGTTGATGGTTATGTTCAAAACTGAGGACTATGATCGAAATTTTGGAAAATTGGAGTATCCCAAAATTATGAAAAAAATCGTTTGTACGCAGAAATGATGGGTCTACCAGGGAGAATAATCACAGGTCTATATGATGACTCATTCTCGAAATTTGGATTTCAAAATCAAATTTTGAAAATTTCTTAAAAATTGCCATATTTCATTTTGACAATTTTGAAAATGGTAGGAATTGTTGAAAAACTGAATGCGTAAATGACTTCTGGGAATCGAAATCAATAAAAAAATCTCGTTTGTTAACATTCGAACGTGTTCCAGGAAAGGTCCAAAATTTTAAAAAATCAAAATTTTCCCGATATTACATAGTGAATCCAAAAATATGACATGTTGATGGTTCCGGTCAAAAATTGAGGACTATGATGGAAAATTTCGGGGTGTTCGTGGCATTTTTGTTAGGGACGGATTTCGGAAAACAGGGTATCCGCAAAATATGAAAAAAATCACAATTGTGGGATTATTAGGTAAAATAATAATCTGAAGTCGATATGACGACTGGTTCTCAAAATATTCGGTTTCAAAATCAAAGTTTTAAAATATTTCAAAAATAATCGGATTTCATTTAGACCATTTTGAAAAAATAGGGAGAAATTATCGAAGAACTGAAGCCGTAAAAGACTTCACGGGATCGAAATCAATGAAAAATCCAGTTGTTAAGATTCGAAAGTGCTCAAGAAAAGGTCCAAAATTTTGGAAAATCAAACTTTTGCCGAAAATGTCTAAAAATCCACAAAAAATTCCACGAGCTAGATTTAGACGAGGTGAACCCAAAAATATGAGATATTGATGGTTCCGGTCCAAAATTAGGGACTATGATCGAAAATTCCGGGGCAATATTGCCATTTGTGGTAGGGACGTATTTGGTGTGTTTTTGTAAAAAATGGGTATCCAAAAATTATGAAAAAAATCTTTCTTCCGCAGAAAGTATGAATTTATTAAAGAAAGTGATGCTAAGTGTATACGACAACTGTTTCTCGAAATATTCGATTTCAAAATCGACTTTTTAAAATTGCCAGATTACATTTTGACGATTTTTCAAAAATAGGTAGGAATTGTCGAAAAACTGAATCGTAAAAGACTTCAGGCGATCGAAATCAATGAAAAAATCTCGTCGTTAAGATTCGAAAGTGCTCAAGGAAAGGTCCAAAATTTCAAAAATTGAACTTTTCCCGAAATTGTCTAAAAATCCATAAAAAATTCTAGGATTTAGGCTTCGGCGAGGTGAATTCAAATATCACATGTTAATCGTTATGTCCAAAATTGAGGATTATAGTCGAAAACTCTGAGGGATTAGTGACATTTTAATTAGGGAAATATTGAAATTTTGAAAAATATGAGTATCCCAAATTATGAAATGAATTGTTTTTGCCCCGAATGATTTCGATTTCAAGATCAAATGTTTAAAATATTTAAAAAATTTCCGTATTTCATGTTGACGATTTTGAAAAAACGGTATGAATTTTCGAAAAATCGAAGGATATAAATCTATAAAACCGCATACGCTACATTAAAATTTTGTCAATTAAGTGGTTTCACCCCTTGGAAAATCCCGAAACGTTGAAATTACTTGAAATCATCTCATTCAAAATGAAAACCATGTGATGGCAGAGACATGAGAAGAGACCGGGGAAAAATAAAAACATCACGGAAGCAGCAATTATTACTGTTATAATGTGAAACGCACATTAAGGGAAATTCGATGGAAAAGCTCTTTCCGATACGATCGGAGTGAAAAAAATTGAATCGTTAAAACTGATACATATGGATATTTGTGACCCAGTTAAATTAAAATCTTTAAAAATTAAAACATGGAGGAGAAAATGAGGCGTCAAATTGAATTAACAAAGTATTAGACACACAAAAAAGAGGTCCAAAAACCAAGAATTAAAAATTTATTATTTGTTTTATAGCTGACGAATGGCAAAATTTCCATTTGTTCGATAACGAAAATAGCAATACATAAATTAAACAATAAATAAATTTGTTTCAAAATTTTCAGTTATGGTGGGTGCAAATTTAGCAAAATTTTAAATTATTGAAGAATATTGTTATTAATATAAAATGAAACAAAATAAAATATGCAGGGAAAATTGGCACCTATGTTAGGACAAAGGATATTAATTTTGTAAAACATTATTTTCGATCAAAAACAACATTTTATGGAAAAAATAATTTATAGTTATAGCTTTATTGCAGAAACTGCATTAGTCCCCAAGGCGATATAACACTTGTGCATTTGTGGCATAAATTTAATTCCAGCTGATTTGTAGAGTGCTTGAGAAGTCACGTAAAACGATAGTTTTACCAGAAACTAGATGAAATTTGGTCTGAAGTTATTTAGTGCGGACTTCCTTCGCCCCTGAAGTACAAACATTTCAGCACGTACAGTTTCTAGGATAAATTATAAAATCTGATTCTACTGCCTTCACGTTTTTGAATTATTAACTTAATCATTTTCTAAAAATACTGAACAGTGTATGACTTTAACGCGAACCTTGACCTATAAATATGGATGGAGATTGTCTTCGAACGATAACAGTACTAAAAACGACATATTTTGATAATGTAATCGGAGATGCTTTTTTAAATATAATTACAGTTACTTTTAGTACGATTACAGACAGAATTTTGGTACCATATGTTACAATTAATATAATTATGGCTTTAAGTGTGTGGTCATTTTTACTGCTTTGTCAGTTGACTTTCGTTTTTGGAAATAAATGGGACTGTGCCGGTAAGTTAAAAAAAAAACAGTTTACGATATCATTTTGAAAAGACTACTTTTGGAGGGACTACTTCGGTACCATTCCTTATGATGCTGTACCAGCTGGAAAAGACCACAACGGTGATAATCGATACGTCGGTCTAGTGTACATTCGTGGTTTTGAACTACTTCCAGCAACCATTTTACCGAAACAAGGAGTAGCACAAACGACAGCATACTCTCATGTCTTAACTACCAGCCAACACGTGAAAGTACTATCTTGCAAGCAAAATTTTGTCTGAAATTATAACCATAGTTTTCAGATACTGTGTAGTCCTCACAAGGAAGCTTTTGAGTGGACTCATGTTCAAAGCAAGGATTTACACGATTACGTGAATCGTAAACTTATTCCTGGAGGTAGTGAAGTAGGGGAAAGTCTATACATTGGAAGAGTTTTCGAAAATGGGGACGTTATAGTAGGCAAAATATTTAAACATGAACGTGCTAATAGAGGAATTTGGTTTCCTGTGGGAACTGCGATCAAGAATTCACTAACTTATGAACTTCTTTCATACGATTGTGATAAAAAAGATATTCCTACGTTTGATGTTAGGATAGGTCTTTCTGATAAACATAACCACACTGAAATAGCATTTCAGTAATATCAAACGTGATATTTAAATTTAAACATGAAGATCACTAATAAACCGTCTGATAAATATATTATTATATGTTGAGGTAGCAACCCTGCAAAAATTACTTTGTGTTATACCCACTTATAAAAAGATACAAGGTGCTTACAATTCCAGTTTTGTTAAAATTAACGACTACTTTTATTTCAACATCCGCTAAAACTTTACGGCACACATTTCAGCAGGTAATGAACATTTAGATACTCCAACATTTTAAAACCAACGGGAGCCACACGTGTCGTTTCACGTCAGATGCTCCTGTTCGATAAATTTGAAGGTCGATGCACCAGATATTGACTTGCATTGTCGCTACCGTAGATAACATAAAGTTCCGCACTCCGTAATATCCTGTCGAAGCTATCTTCCGAACAGCCGTGTTGGCTCTTATTGTTACTTTTCGTCCACAAAATTGCATTAAGCCAGTAAATATCCAAGGCTGATTGCATTTTTTATTGTGTTCATTCGTTGCGAGCGAAGATACATCGCTGTTATATCCTTGGAAAGCGAATCAGAGAGCAATAAAGCTCACTAGTGTGTTTTTTACAGTGGATGCTAACGCGATTTCTGTTAGCGAACCAATGAAGTGTCTTATCATCGTTGTTCAGTGTTCGCAAAAGGCCGAGTAATTTCATATCACTAACCCAATTCCCTTGATTAGATTCTGGATGGGTGGCCAATAAATTGACTGGAGACTTCATCCATTTCTCATCGCTAACTTCATTGCCGTCTCGGGGACTTCGAATAGGATTTCATACTAAAGTGGCTGGTCTTTATTTCAAGACTCATTCCGTTTCGATTTCGACGATTTTATTAACTTATTGGGGGAGGGGGGGCGATTAGCTTCTTTGCCACAACAGATTTCGATGTTGTGAATATTCCATCAAAGAAAATGCGGGATTTGGGAGAAGCGTTATTAGAAAACACACTTCGTCATTTCGGATAATGATCGGGAAAATTAAGTTCGGGGAAAACACGGAGTTTGGGACATCGGAACGAAAATAAGCATACAAGTGTGAAAGGTGTGGCCGAAAGTTGTTTCCATAGAACTTCCCTCGCGTCTGAAGTACAATGAAACATCAAGCATTGTCGAGTTGAGTTTTTTCTTTACACAATTTTGCGATGACGTCTTCAATTTTTTTTTGCATTCTTGATTTCTTCAATAAAATAGTCAAATACTATAAGTATAATTCGACAAATCCAGCTCTTTAACAAAATAAACACTCCTTGTCCTTCCACACTAAGTAATAACAATCTGAAGCTGAAGTGTTTATTTATGTTTATACATCGAAAGAATATCACGTAGAAATTAGTTTCATTTGAATGAGTTTGTATTCTCAAAAACAGGACTAAAATTATTAATTAAACCACAATCGAACAAAATGTTCTGAATGTTATAATTCTCATTTTGTCTAATAAAAATGGATACAGACAGACAGACGGAAACGGGAGACTACTTTTTTCGTACTGGAGGGATCATGAAACGTCGAGAAAATATAAAAGTGGCCATTCGTCCGATGGACTCGATTACTATACTTCTTTAGCCTACGCTCGGGAAGTAAAAAGTGTCCTTATTTTATTACCATACAGTTACCATATTTTATAAAGGGTCCATCAGCATGAGGCTCATCTGTACATATATTAATATCATTAACTATATAATTTATTTTACTATTATCAATCATAAACTGCGCGTCAAAAGTTTGGGATATCGTAATTAATTTAATTTAAGCCTACTCAATTCTTTCGAAAATTATCGAAAAACTAATAATAAACATGTCTTTCATCAACATCCTTAACTTTTGACGCCCGCCCACCCTTTCTTTTCTTAGAAGGTATGCCATTTGCCAAAATCGATCTTATTTTAGCAGATACTAGCTAGGATAAGACTCATTTTGGCAAATAACATCCTCTAAGAAAAGAAAGGGTGGGTGGGAGGGGCTTGTTCCTGCTAAGATAAGAGTGATTTTGGCAAATGAGATATTCTGTAAAAAACGAGAGGGCGGGTGGGCGGGGCTAGTTCCTGCTAAGATAAAAGTGATTTTGGCAAATGAGATACACTCAAAAAAAAACGAGAGGGCGGGTGGGCGGGGCTAGTACCTGCTAAGATGAAACTGATTTTGGCAAAGGACGTATCCCCTACGAAATTTAATTGAAGTATTATGAGGTTCCAAAGCACAAATTTTTCAAAAAAATCTTATCCTAGCTAGTAGCTGCTAAAATAATAACTGAATTTGGCAAATGACATATCCTCGTAAGAAAAGAGAGAATGGGTGGGCGGGGTTAGTAGCGGCTAAGATAAGACTGATTTTGTCAAATGAGATCCCTTTAAGAATATGTAGGTGGGTGGGCGGGATTAGTACCTGCTAAGATAAGATCGATTTTGGCAAATAACATATTCTCTAAGAAAAGTGAGGGTGGGTGGGTGGGGCTAGTAGTTCCTAAAATCAGTTTGTCTGTTGTCTTAAAAAGGTGGATTTACAGTCATTATTTTTTGCGACTCCCGAAACTCCCGTACATAACGTACTGAAGAGTTAATCCGCTATTTTCCAGACACCCGGTATATTTGCTTATCATCTCCAAAAAATTTTTTGGAGGGGATAAGCAGCTCAAAATTTGGCCGAATAAATCCTATCTAAAATGTCCAAAGGCGACAAAAGGTGTCGAAAAAGGGGCAAAAAAAAGCAAAAATATCCGACAAAGAGGGAACAAAAAAAGGAGGGGAAAAAAGGCCACTAAATAAAATCAGATAAAAATAGACAAAAATATCCCACAAAAAATGCTATAAAAAAAGACGACACAAAAAAGGCGACAAAAGATGTCAAAAAAAAGGGATAAATGTTCTGAAAAAAAGGGGTAAAAAACACAAGTAAAAAATTTCGGAAAAAGAGGAGACAAAAAAGGGGGAGAAAAAAAGCAGAAAAGAGGCGTAAAAAGCGCCAAGAAAAGCGACAAAGTCAATAACAAAAAGGCGACTAAAGAAAATCCAACAAAAAAAAAAGGTGAAAAATATCCGACAAAAAAGGTGACAATTAATGCTGAAAAAGGGGTAAAAAAAGGGTCAAAATGGGACGAAATATTGGCGATAAATAATAAACAGAAAATGGGAAAAGGAACAAGAAGAAAAGACAAAAAAAGCAAAAAGGCGATAAAAAAAATCCGACAAAAAAGAGGCAGCAAAAAAGTCCAAAAAATAGCCCTCAATAAAATCCTATCAAAATCGCCCAAAATATCCGACAAAAAAAGGAAAGCCAAAAAAAAGCGACTATGAAGACCCGACAAAGTCAATAAAACGCTGCAAAACGGTGGAAAATATCTGATTAAAAAAAAAAATAAAATAATCGGACAAAAATGCGAAAAAAAGACACAAATAAAGGGTGTAAAACGGAAGACAACAAAATGGAACAGAAAAAAGGCGATAAAAAAAGTGTGGATAAAAACGCGTAAAAAGCTACTACAAAAACAACCAAAAAGGCCATAAAAAAGGCGACAAAAAAAGGGTGACAAAAGAGAAGGCGAAAAAATGGCGATAGTAAAAAAAACAGACAAAAAGGATAAACATTATCCGACAAAAAATGCGATGGAAAAGGGGTCAAAAAAGGGCGACAATAAACACGAGAGAAAGTCCACCAAGAAAAAGGCGATTACAAAAATCTCGACAAAAAAGGTCTACAAAATATGCCAAAAATGACGTTAAATAACAGGGCAACAAAAAAAAAACAGGTGAAAAAATTGCGAAAAAAGTTCAACTTTTTCCTACAGTCATTTGTAAGCAAGCAACAGCCCCGCCCACCCACCCCCTCTTTATTCCAGTGATTACTCTTCATATTGTTTAGTCACTTACCAAAATCAGCCTTATCTTAAGAAATACTAACCCCGCCCACCCGCCCTCAATTTTTTTCTGATGATTTTATTCTGTTCAGTTCATGAGATCCACGTTTCAATTGGACTAGATAAAATGAATCAGTGAAATGAAGGCGGGGTTAGATATATGTTCTGTAGAATCTCGTTCTAGAATGGGAACTAATAAAATGTAGGTTGTTAAAAAAAAGCGCTAATCGTATTTTTTTGTTATACTATTTGACATAAGATTTATTTCTTATTTTAGAAGAAAAAAAACGAGGGAACGGGTGGGTGGGCGGGGCTAAGTTTAACTTTTTCTTACAGTCTTTTATCACCAAGCAATAGCCCCACCCACCCACCTCCTCTTCATTCCAGTGATTACGCGTAATATTGTTCAGTCGTTTATCAAAATCAGCCTTATCTTAAGAAATACTAGCCCCGCCCACCCGCCCTCTCTTTTCTTACAGGGTATGTCATTTGCCAAAATCGATCTTATTTTAGCAGGTACGAACCCCGCCCACCCAGCCTCACTTTCTTAGAAGGGACCTCATTTGCCAAAATCAGTCTTCTCTTAGCCCCGCCCGCCCACCCTCTCTTTTCTTAGAAGGAATGTCATTTGCCAAAATCAGTTTCATTTTAGCAGCTACTAGCTAGGATAAGACTGATTTTGGCAGATGAGATACCTTCTAAGAAAAGAGAGGGTGGGTGGGCGGGGCTAGTATTTTCTAGGATTAGACTGATTCTGGCAAATGAGATATCTTCCAAGAAAAGAGAGGGTGGGTGGGCGGGGTTAGTATCTTATAGGATAAGATTGATTTTGGAAAATGAGCCCCGCCCACCAATCCTCTTTTCTTAGAGGATGTCATTTGCCAAAATCAGTCTTATCCTAGAAGATACTAGCTATATATATAAAAAAATTAATGCGAAAGTGTCTAGAAAAAATATACTTTGCCATTATGCTTATTAAAGCTCGAGTAGACAAAAATCTCAAATTACGATAAATTACTCGTATTCCTAATTACTGAAATCAGATTATGACGACCCTAAAATCACTGACTTGACACACGCAAATGTAGGTATGTTATTTCCCAAAATTAGTCCTATCTTAGCAAGTTCTAGCCCCGCCCACCCGCCCTCGGTTTTCTTAAAAGATATGTTATTTGCCAAAATCAGTCTTATCTTAGCAAAT